TACCTCCAAGTCTTATTAAGACTCCATTTCTACCACTCACATTCTAATTTTCTATTTCTCTAAGGATTTCTATACTAATTACTATATATTGTGATTTAAAGCATTCTAAATGTATATTTTTATCCTAAAATAATAAGTGAGTTAATTTGATGACTAACATATTACTAAGGTATGGTTTTTTTGGGTCTCTATAAGTATAATTTTTGTTGTCTCTATAAATTAGAAACCTTTTACAAGTGGTTTTTGTAGGAAATGGACATCCTTTACATATTACAATGGACTTGATTAATATTCTTCTTTAGGTAGAAAGTATAACGATACAATATTGAAGTTTCTTTTCAATTCTTCTTCCTCAGAGTTAAGGCTTTCAAAGCTTGCTAAGCTTATTTTTGTATTTAGTTTTCAATGAAGAGTTGGAGGACTTACTTGATGATTGGTATGGTGCATTGCTCCTATTATTGAATTTTTATTTGGTTCTAAGCATATTCCACGTCCTAGTATCGATATCTCCAAGGATTGAGCTTTACTCTAGAGTATATATTTTGTTTCTTTTGAGGTCTTTTTGGGACGCTTTTGATATTGTTTTTTGATACATACTTTCTATATTCCTATTTATTATATGTAGTAGCACTAATTTTGTTACATTAGATTTTTTTAAAATTAGAATCAAGATTCTAATAGCACTCTAATCAGGTCACTTGTATAAATCTTAAAATTATTTGTTTCACCTTAAAATTTGGATTTATCTTTGCTTACTAAAAATTAAAAATAATTTATTGCATTGCAAGCTCTTAGAGCAATGCAATACTTTATCAATTGTTGAAAAAAAAAATGCTACTTCAATCTCTTAGAAAATTCATATTTCAAAAAAAGTAGATCTAGGTTGGTTCAACAGCTCCCATTTTCATGAAGCCTTTGTTTTTGTTTGCTCTGCTCTACTATTTCTTCTCCTCTAATTAGCTGAGTTATTTTAGCTAATGTGGCGCTCAACATCTATATCAATTAAGAATCAAATCAAAGTCTATACTATGGCAAGTTACTATTCTCAATCTTAAAGTTCCTACTAGAATTTAGTAAATAAAATTTAAATGATAAGAGTGCTATAGGCATATAAGATCTCTAGCCAAAAAATGAGACTAATCCTCGTTGTAGTGTTAGTTATCTAGATTTTTTATAATTTAGGTAGATCCTAAGATTATAAAGAGAAATATAAAGAAGAAGATCTACTGATTAGAAAGTATCTAAATTGAATACTCTTCAAGTAGCTTGACGATATTTGGTCCTAGTTAACTAAATTACATCTATTTCCTATAAGAAGTGACATTTACTTAAGAAGAAGTATTTGAGACCATTATTCATCTATCTTTGATAATCCTCTTTGCTTAGGTGTTGTACAGTATGTTGGTAGACCTCAAAGACAACTAAAAAACCTTGGAAGTTGGCCACCTATTGTTTTCTTTGGAGAACTTGAGGAAATTTGGCTTGTATGAATGGAGCATTATTCATCCTATTAAATATTTCTTGTTTGATTCTTGCCATTAGTTGTATTATACATAAAAAGAGCTCTACGGATGGTAGTTGTAATACTTATTCCAATGTAATTGATTAGATCAATGTATCTATTTTTGCTTATAGGTCTTCTTAGAAGATTTGAGTGGAAGGAGGGCTAGATTTGCAAATGAGTTGTTTGGTTGATATGTATAGGCCGATCAAAATATGGAGGTACATGCTTCTTACTTCTTTGTCTTCTATTATAATTAAGTTGTTTGGTTTTCTAGAAGGTGATAAGTTTGTTTGATGAAAAAATATTAATTAGGTATATAGATCCTCAAAGAATCAAGTAATCAAGTCCTTTAGTTCTTTAATATTTCTTAAGATGTTTGTAAATAATTGGTCAATAGCCATCTGAAGATCTTTGTCCTCTTATAGAGTTTTATTATTTAGTTGGAATTCATGTCTAGTAGATATTATGTATGGATATTATGAGAAAATTATTATTAAATATTATAAGATAAATAGTTATAAAGGAAAAAAAATACCATTTTGATTTATTATTAGTCATAATTAGAAATATTTCTTATTTATTCTACACTTTTCTAAAAACCTTGTGAAGTTAGATTTATCATTTAGTTAATTGAGTGTATTGATCTATTAAGTTCCAAAAAGCCATTCCAATGTATATAGTTATTTTTATAAGTATTAAAGAGTACTATCTTTAGATTGAATAGATTTTGATTTAGTTCATATTGACTTTTTTGGATCTAGAGGTATTAAAAGAGTATAGTTTTTAATATTTTCTATGAAATATTGGAGATAATTATACATGCCTTTCTAGAGTTCCATGCTAATTTCTTGTATTATATATCAAGGTTATCAGTGTCGTACTATACTTGCTTATAGTATGTAAAAAATTAATTAAAATATATATTATGTTTGTAAATCTTGATGTAGATTAGAGTGGTTAATAAGTAAATTTAAAGAGAGTTGCTATGAGAAAATTTATTTGGAGGTTTATCTATTTTGATTATAATGTTTATATTATGTAAGCTTTAGATATTTGGTATAAAGCTTAAGAGAAGGTTGGAGTCTAAAAATAAAAATCTAAACTATTAGGAGGCTTATTGAAAAGGATGAAAGCAAGGTATGGCTAGATGAAGGCAAGGAGTGAAGATCTTCATCCCTATTAGTTGAATGTCATGTCCAATAGACTTCAAGGAGGCTGTCCGAGGCCTTACTAGAATTAGGGATTTTTTTAAGGTCATTCAAGCTTTGGAGGCTAGGTTCTAGAAATTTAGATTTTAGGATATGATTTGGATGCAAATTTTGTATGATTTGGAGTTTTTATGAAGGAGTTATAGATACTCAAAGTTAAGGTGTCAATTTCATACCTACTATCACTCTTTGGAGCATAATATAGGCTTACGAAGAGCAATAAAGGACCGGCAACTAGGCTTAGAGAAAAAACTTTCTTAGCTACACTTTTCATATACTTTTTGATGAATTATAAGTTTGGATGAAGGAGTTATAAGGTGTTGAAAATAGCACATATAATTCAAAGATAGTAAGTGAGTTGTTTTATTGATAGTAATAGTTGGAGCCATATCTTGAGTTTTTGGATGAATTATTAGTCCATCCATTAGCAATAACTAATTCATTGTAGCAATCTTTGAAGGTAGCTACAAATTCCATACTTTGGTTAATATTTGTCAATATTAATTATTAGTATATTCTTGTTCTTTTAGTTTTATGATGCCTCTCATATCACTCTTTTCTAATTTGAGTCTTATGGAGTATTCTAATTTTGTTGTATATGTATAAAAGTTACCTCCTTTGACAAATCAAATATCTTTCTATTGCCAATCATTTAGGTTCCATATAAGGTATAGGATAGATATAGAACTAAAGAGCCATATTTTGTAATAGTCTAGTAGAGTCTCTTTCAGATTAAATTCTTGTGTTTTGTTCCTTTCAATAGCTGTGATTATTATCCTTGCTTGTTCCAAATTGCTAGATGACATTTTATTAAGTCATTTTTTTTTTTTTTTGAATTCTTTGGTTGACAAAATCTTATATGTATGTACTTTCAATCCACCTTTATGTCTTTCTATGATATAATACACTATTAAGATTGGTCCTTCTGTTTCAAAGATTATCCACTTACTTGGATCAAGTGAGAAGCAACCTTGAAGATTCTAAAGAATGGTCATGACAACCTATTCACATTATATTGATAGAATATAAGATCAAATTCTAGGTTTGAGAAATTCTAGTTGCATCCAATCTTAATGTGGGAAGTACCAAAGATCTTTAACCATAAAGATGTTTTAATCCCATGTGTATAATCGTGTCTCTTAGTGAATTTCTAATATTCTTATTTAGTCTTAAATTCTATGGTTTTTCAATAACGATTGTTGTATGATTTCTTTGTAATATCTTAGTTTTTTTTTTTATTTTAATCCGTTTTATATTTGTATCTATATATAGAATAAAGTTTGCTATAGTAGTTGAATTGTTTGTAGTAGTCAGTAGGCTATTGTGATCTAATGAGAGTTTGCATGCCACTACCTTGCACTTGCAAATCTAGTTTGTGCAATATTATGATGTACAAAGATTTTCCATGGTTCATAGCCTAGTTTCAAAGCACATACCATTAACTTGGATAGAAGGGCTGCTTTTTGGAATGCCAAGTCATAGAACTTCAAGCCCCCATATATTGTGGATTGAATGACAATAGTCCAAGGGACTTTGGCTTTTGTATTTTTTCCATCTGTTATACCTCACATATAGTTTCTTTCTAGAGCCCTTGCTTGTTTGAATATAAATTTTGTTATATTAGTTCATGAATTGATAAACAATATTGAGGCAAGTATGACTTAATTTACAATTAGAATTTGTCTTGCTAACCAAAGTCTTCTTACTCTCCACACATTTAATGCTATTGTCATTGAAATTAGGATCTTGTTGCTGATTTCTTTAGGAACTATCTCGAATCTTAGTAGAAAACCTAAGTAGGTAGTAGCACCCTTGGTTGATAACCATTTAAGGCTTGGATCTCTTTGCCATATCTAGTTCCTCTCTATAGAGTTAAGCTATATGTCCACCATCTTGTCGCAATCGACTTTTACTCTTGAGACTTGACAAAATAAGTTGATGACTTTTATTGTATTATACAAATTTTATTCAAATCTCACAAGATAGAATGTTGAATCATCAATAAACATTAGGTTTGTAGTTACTATTTCATCTGGGAAAGTGAGGCTAGTGATCTCATAATAGATATCATCCAACATATATTTGAGGGCATCCTCAACTAGAAGATAGAGATAGGACACTATGAAGCATCTTTTTCTGACTGACCGTTCCAGTGAGAAGTTGGATCCTGATGTGCCATTGAAGCAAGTTGTGGCATTGGCATGGATGTAGAATGTCATGGTAAATTGGACCCAAGTAATGACTAAATCCCATATGCACCATGAGTTGTTGTAAAAATGTCCACGACACTTGGTTGTAGGCTTTTTCAAAGTCCAGTAGTAAGAGTATAAATTCTTATTGATTAGTTTTTGTCTAAGACATGGCTTTGAAGGCCATAAATACATTATCAAAAATGATTTGATCAAGATGCCTCACTCCATATGATTTGTGCTATTCAAGAAGTCGATTTGATGTGTCTTGGATTTCCACTCCTCAAGCGAGAGTTTGTGCTCTTGGAATAAGAGGATGTCGGGCCTTGGTTTTGATTTCGAAAAGAACTCCCTGATTTCTCTCTTTTTCTAATTCCCGCAAAGTCTCTTCCCAGGCTTTGGACATTCAAAGTTGCAATGCAAATGGGTTCATTCATTGCCCTCGTATCCTATTGGTGGGATACAGGACTCTCCCTCACCTGCCCTTCTGGTGGGTGGCCTCCTTTTGTAGCTTGGTGGGTGATTGGAGTCTCATATAGTTCATCGGTCCTTTTCCTTAAGAATATGGGGACGATAGCATCTGAGAACTCTGTTCCAGACGGTGAAGTCCAGCCCAGGGCTTCCCAGAAATTAGAGTGCATTTGGGTCGTTGAGTAACCAATGTGCCCGGCTGCTACAGGGTTGCATTCTTCTCTGACTACTAATTTAGCTTTAGGCTGCCAGATGAAGCTTTGTTTCCTCGAACTGATTCTGCTATTCTTCTGTTGTTTTGTAGGTTCCTTGGGATCAGTTGACGAGTTCGTGTGGCGAACAGATTCTCTTTGCCTTTGCTTTTCCCGGTCTAAAATCCTTTCGCTCGCTGGTCTTCATAGGAGCGGCATCGGCTGCACTGTCCACTAAATCCACTGTATTCGATCATATACTCCTTTTCTGAATCCGCATCCATTCTCATGATCCAGACTGACCTAGGGAGGTCTTCTGTGTTGTCAGTCAAGATCCTTACTCTTGGTCCAAATAGTTTCGCCCTACATGTTTCTCCATCGTCGATCAGAAGTATCTCAAATGTTTGATGTAGTATCTAGTGAAGAAATTCTTTGGTTCGGAGAGATTGGAGGAGACCAATCATTTGTGCCCACAGTGCTGTTTTAAGTTGCTTATGTGATGCTAGTTCGTCTTCTTCATAGTATGGGGACCATGGGTTGCAGCATAGTTCCCTATTATCTACTCTGTAGGAATAGGTACTAAGGTTTGTCTTACTCCTTCCTCCTGTGAATTATAAATCTATATAGTTGTTAACTCGGATAGTGAGACACTTGAAGGAGTGATGCAGTTTGGTTTTAGCCCATATTGTAAGTCTACGGATGCCCGGGCTACGTTCTCTCATTACTCCTAGGACCATATATTTTTGGAGTTGTTGCATTTTGTCTTTGTACTTCTGACGGATTTCGGGGTCGATAGTAGCGTGGATTGTCGGATGGGGTGCAGTGGTGGTTCTCTCTACCTTTCGGGTTCCGCTCTATCTATTTCCCTGGTTTTCGGTTGTCCTTCAATAGATGGGTCAGAGAAGAAAATAGGGGTTACTTGATGTTTGGTAACGAGGTTGTATTCTGCGTAAAATTCTTCCATGAATTTAAGAGGGGACTATGGACACTCTACCCACCATTTCTGCTACTGCCTCTTTTTCATTGGTTTTATGGCACAATCCCAGGTTCCCATGTTGATGTATGATTTGTTCCGCTCTTGCCCTGGAGTCTTGTACTTGTTTCCGTAGGAGTATATGGAGTTCCCTGTGGGTGTCCCCCCCCCCCCTCCCCCAATGAAAATGAGTTTGTACTACGTTCTATTACTCCTGTTTCCTTTGTGCCCGGGGTGTGGAAGTATTTGCTTGCTTGTGTGGTATCAGGGGTGATCTCCATCTGAATCTCCTCTTAGTTGTCCTCCTGTGAGGCCTGTTGATGTTGTGGTGTACCTGTCAACAATCCACTGAGTGGGGCAGAGATTACCTGTGGTGTTTCGACGTTCTTTGTTGATTATCCGACCGTTGGGGTTGATATCTCCTTTGAGCTTGGTGCTACTTCCATTGCTCCAGTGGTGTGCAATAGGTGGTTCGTACCGTTTATTGCTTTCGTCGTTGTTCCATATGTCTTGATGTCTCGCTCCACTGTTGAGCTACCTTTGCGTGTCCTCAGATAGTATCTTGAAGCCCTGGATCACTCTCCACTACTCGTATGTTCTGCGTCATAATCGATTGACCCTGCTACAGAGTCGCGGCCAACAGTGTTGGCACTGCTGTTCTGCGCTCTGGTCCGGCCAGCTACTATACTATGCGCCATCCTGCTCTAAATCACAAAATACAGAGCACTGTGCTCCGCGAGAGATGAACAATGCGTTACTAGCAATCACGTACACACAATACCTTGCTACACTCGATTAAAGGGATTCCGTAAAATGCGGATCTGCGGTGGTGCGTCTCCGGTTTTCACGGAGACCCCCAGGCCAGCAGCAGGGTTCCTATTCTACCACTAGTTACTATTCTCAACCTCTAGACCACCGGTGCCTCGAAGCGACGACTGACTACGACACCTTTCCTGGGCGCCTGAGGAAACCGCCTGCTATCATCCGCCTGCACGCCTGCCCCGCACTACCTCTCCGAACTACCCACCTCCACGCCTCAACACCCTCCTCCCCCCCCCCCCCCGATCTCTTCTCCAGAATAGGGAATCCAGACTTCACTTCACCGCAACAGGTTGTCTTCTGATTTGATGAAGAACACAAAACAAAGGAAATGATCACTGAATGAAGGCAAAGATTACAAAATGAAGGAGAAGATCATCGAACGATGGAGAAGATTATAAAATGAAGAGAAAGATTACGGCCACCTGTGCCAACACTGAACAACAATGCAAGCTCTGCCTGAACTGTACTACCTTCTCTCGCCAACGACGATCAACCCGCCGCCGTTGCTACCTTCTCTCAGTAACGACGATCAATCCCCCCGCTGTTGCTACCTTCTCTCGCCAACGACGATCAATCCGCGGCTGCTACCTCATCCCAGGAGATAACACATATCCAGCTAGCACCGACACTCTGGCGGCCAAAGTCCAATCGTGACGACGGCGAGGTCCAGCACCGCATTCCAAGGAGGAAGAAGCAGACTGGCTAGATCAACAACGGCTGCGACCAACACTCCCTGCCAGTTCTCTCACCTTACCTTCGCAACCTAGGATGGAATTAATTGGCAAGAAGTCAATAAATGAAGAGGAAAACGCAGAAGACAAAGCAGTGGCGTGGACTCGACTATTCACAATTCCAACCTTGCTATTCAAAGTTCTTGCAGTCAGCAACATTGCCATGAATTTAGTGAAGCTCCAACAGACGGGGCTCCTGCCATAGCCACAACCGCGCTCTCCTTGTTGTGAGGCTGTGAAATTGTTTCTTAATTCAGTGTGAAAACTGGCCTTAGTTGTGGACGAGAAGTTTTGGGAGTAGTTGAGAACAACCCTTTTTCATTAATTACAAGGGCTAGAGAATGGCCTTATGACGACTCTTTGAAGATGTTTGAAGTCTCTTTGAAGTCTCTAGTCGCTAGTCTCTTTGAAGATGCTTGGTGGGCCAGCGGCTTATACACACTAAAACAAAATCACTTATTGTAATTCTTATATGAGTACACTGTATGTATGTATGCATATATATATATATATATATATATATTATCATAATAGCCTACTTATGACAACCCTGCATGCGAGTTTGCAAGGATATCCTCCCTTCTACATTTATGAGTTATTTTCCTACTTGACATCCCTCTTATAGTTTGTTCTAATGCATCCTCAATTCTTTTCTAACATGCAATCTAATCTTTTTGATTGCTACCCTTTCGTACTTCCAACTTGTCAAAATAAGATTTTCTCCTAGTGAGCCAATTTGAGTGCTCACATGTGTATTTATTGTGCATTAGTGATTTGTATTTGATTGCATATTTGATATTGGTTTATGACACTCAATTTTGTTGTATATAACAATCTGTATCTATACAATACATGGGTTTTAGAATTTGATAGGTTTTATTTAAGGTTTAATAAAGATTTCTTTAGGATTTCTTTTGGATTTTTTAAAAGTTTATTGTAAATTATTAGATTTTTTTAGGATTTCATAGGATATAGAATTTTTTTAGAATTTTTAATTTTTTTTTTATAATTTCTTTAAGTTTATTAAAGATTCATGTAGGTTATATTGGAACTCATTTATTTAGGTTGTTTATAGTTGTTTGGATTTGGAATTTAGAATTAAAAAGATATTAAATTGATTGAGTTTAGAATTTTTAAGAAAAATAAGATTGTCAAGACAAGTAATTTTAAATACCTCATTTCTATTTTTGATTTATAAGAAAAAATTTAGGATTTAGATAAATCTTTTCTACAACTAGATGTCTAGCACATTTCCAAGCAAGAATTCATATAATATAATATATTAGTAAAACCATATATATGCATATGTATATGCATGTATATCTTTCAATGCATATATATATATATATATATGCATTGAAAGATTAATATGTCTTTGAAGATTGAGATTGAATTATTAAAAAAGTCATCATCTTAATAGATTAAATAGCCTAAGAAGATTTTCTAAGATAAAAGTTATTAAATAACTTTGAAAGATAATTTTTTAAATTATTAAAGAAAAAAACACAAATATTGGAATTAAAGAAGGTTGAGCTATTTCTTCAAGTAGCTAATAGATAGTTATAAGAGAAATTGGAAGTTTTATATAAAGAATAGAAAAAAACTTAAGAATTGAAAATAAATTAGAATGAAGTAGAAGAGGCTATGGAATTACTTCCAAAAATATTTTAAAAAAAAGAAAGAAAGAAAGAAAGAAAGATTGGTTCTTAAAGATTAACACAAATATCTAAGACAAAAATGCCTACTTTGTAATCAACAATGTTTACTATTCAATATTTTACAGCTGCATTAAGGAAAGCAAAAATGAGACTTGATAAGATAGTACTTAAAATATAAGATCTTTAAATTAATTTTACAAGATTTAAAGAATTTTTTAAAAAAAATTATTTGAGGTGTCTATATTTATTAGCTATGAGAAAGGTCTTGTAGAAGGTTCTTTGGAATTGCAAGACTTATGACATTAGTATCTAGTTATAAATAACTTCTAATTGAACATTCTAAAAGTAAAAAACTTGTTGCACATGTATTAAGAGCCACTTTGCATATCTATAAAAGTCTAAATTTATAATTTGTATTCAAGAAACTTCTTCAAAGCTCTTGAAAAAAATATTGTCTTTTTAATATATTTTTATCTATTTTAATTTACTTCTATTTATCTCTTTTTATTTAAGTAATATAGATACATATTACACTATGATAATAAGAAGTATAAAAATATTAGTCTATGATTCTTTGACAAAAAGTTATATTATAGCAAAGGAAGCTACAAACTATGGTACAAAGATGGATGATGATTGTAAAAACAATAGAAATATAGGACTAAGTATATTTTTGTCATCTACTTTATCCATCATGCAAACAAAGAAGATACTATATGAATTATTATTAAGAACAATTACTACTATGAGTGATATAATAAGCTAAAAAGACCTAAATACTTTTTTAGTGTATGCATATATTGTTAAGAGGTAACCTAAAGCTTTGATAGAATATAAGAGGATGAAAATTTTTGAAAATATAAGAAAAAAAAAAAAACTTCTTCTAAATGCAAAGTAAAGAAATAAGAAAAATGAGATTACTTTATAAGAATAAAAATGAAAGATATTCTAACAAAATTGAAGAAAAAATTGAAAGATATTAAGAAAAAAATAAAAAAATAAAAAAAAATTAGCTACTTGCAAATTAATTATAAAATTAAAGGAGCAACTAATTTAAAGAAGATTCTTAAAAAATATGTATTCAATGCTAAAATAGAATTTACATTGAAATTTTTTTTGGAGATTATTAATAATTATTCTTTATAATCATTTTATTAATAAAATCAAAAAAGATATAATTAAAAAATAAAATAATATTAAATTGTATTATTCAAGAAAATTTTAGAATAGGAATAGATAATATAAGCATCTAATAATCCTTAAATTGAATTTTATAGAAATTTTTAAAATATAAAAATAAAAATTGGTGGTATTTCAATAAAAATAAATAAATAAATAAATAACTTTGTCAATGACATTGTATTGTAATTTTTTATAATATATAAAAATTAACTAAAATAGATAATATATTTATAAATTTTGATGTACTTTAGAGTGGTTAGTAGGTTAATTTAAAAAGAGTTGATGTAAGAAAATTTATTTTGAGATTTACCTATGTTGATTATAGTGTTTAAAATATATATGATTTAAATATTTAGTATAAAATTTAAGGAGAAGATTGGGACTCAAAGATGAAGATCTAAACCTCTAAAAAGCTTATTTGAAAGAATGAAAGCAAGGTATGGATGGATGAAGGCTAAAAGTAAATATCTTTATCCCTATTGGTTGAAGGCCATGCCTAATAGGCATTCAGCAAGTTATCCTTGACCATAATAAGGATTTTGGCGGCTTCAAAAGGAGCATTTGAGAATTAAAAATAAGAGTTGTAAGGTTTAGGATTTGGACTACAATTTGTGTATAAATTTTAGAGGATTTGGAGTTAAGATGATGAAGTTATAATTGTTTGAAGTTAAGATATTTTTTTAAGACATACTATTACTATTTTTAGGATATGATGAGTTTTATGATAGATTTTGGAGATTGAAAGAAGCAATCGCAAGGGCGATATTGATATCTATTAATATACATATTGAGTTATTTCTATTTTGTCATCTTTCTTTGAGAGAAGTCTCACTTTTTTATTTGTCTTTATCAAGTTCTTGTTCTTGACAGTGAGTCATTTTATTGATAGTAATGGATGGAGCCATATCTTGAGTTTTCAAAAGAATTTTTAGTTCAAAATTTCTAGAAGTGTGTGATGTTGAGTTAGAATAATATATATCAAAATTTTATGGTATTTGAGTACTTATTTTGTGAGATATGAAGAAATTTGCACACATGTGTATATAAACAAGGGTTTGAAGCTATTGTTAGAGTTTTGGCAATATCTCAAGATCCATAATGAATCTGTAGTTGAAATTTTTTATAATAGTTGTTAAAAATACATTAGTACTTTATATCAAATTTGGTTTTGTTTGAATAATCCAATCGTGAGAAATAAGTTGTTGAAGTTTGGAAAAAAATCACCTTAAGGATATACAAGGTTTTATAATATTTTTATCATATTTTTGGTACTTAGGGCTTATGTATTGATGTAATTGTCCCAACAGAGGCAATTTTATATGTAAACTTGGTGTTTTTTTTTTTTTTTTTTTTTTTTTTTTTATCTTGAAGCTTGGTTGAGCAATTAGTGATAATCAGAAGCCTATTGTTTTTTCAAGGCAAATTCACACTACCTCAAAAATATTGTCATATTACATAAAGTCTTGCTTGAGAATACACCATGCACTTACTTGTGGAAGTAAAATTTGAAATTGCAACAACAAGATCTTAAATATTCTAATAGAATCATAAATAAATATCAATTAAATCTTAAAAATCCTAATTCAACATAATTAAATCCAAAAGAAGTCTTAAAAAGTTTATAGAAAAAAAACATGAAAAATTTATAAAAAATCTTTAAAAAATAATAAATAAATCCTAAAAAATATCATTTTTTTTAATAAATCCTAAATAAATATTAGATAAATATTAAATATATATATACAAAAAAATTTTAATAAAATTCTAAATCCTAAATCAAATCTTGTAAAAGTTTAAAATCTCAATAGCTAATAATTTAATTATATATTTTAACTTAAAATTTTAGCACTTCTTAATTACTTAGTTGAAAATAAGCATAAAAACTTTGACAAAGTATTAGGGACATAGTCCTTAGAACCTTCTAGAGACAAGTTTCTAGAACCTTCTAGAGACAAGCTTCTAGAACCTTCTAGAAGCAAGTCTCTGGAACCTTCTAGAAGCAAGTCTCTGGAACCTTCTAGAAGCTTCTTAGTTGGTAGAAGATGTTAGGGACATAGTCCTTAGAACCTTCTAGAGATAAATTTCTAGAACCTTCTAGAAGCAAGTCTCTTGAACCTTCTAGAAGCTTTCTAGTTAGTAGAAGTTGCTTGAGAAGCTTCCTAAATAGGAGTATATATTGGAATCGAGGCTGAAGAGTTCTTCAGTCTCGACAACACATCTCTTGGAGCTCTAGCTCACCTCTCTGGTGTTGTTCTTGTATTCATCTGATTAATCTAGTTCTTGCCAATTCTTCTTGAACTTCTTGTTAGATCTCAAGTCTGTATTTCTGTGTCCATGACAGTTTGTTGAGACTTCACTCACCTCAGATATCAGAGCTAGTTTCTTCTTTGTTAGAATGTGGATTACCCCTCTGCTTGGAAGTGTACTAGCATTTTAGAGGTTGTGGATTACCCTCCTCTAAACTGATACTTTTTTTGTTACAATATTGGAGTCTTATTCTT